CTCAACTACTACATTAGGATTGCCATTCTCTTAAGCAATTTATTTTATATTAACAACAAAATAGAATTATTTATATAACATCATTATCTGTTAAAATTAAATTTTATATTATATTTTATATTAATATATTAATATTTAATATTTGCCAAATTTCAGCAAAAATATGTATATGCATTAAATATTAGCAATTGTATAATAACAAATAATGCTTGTCAAAACTATATAATACTAATTATCATATGTTATTACTTATAAAAATTAGTATTAAATTGGTAATTTTTTATATATTGTAGCATGTAACAATTAGCATTAATGGTTTCATCAAGCATTACTAATAATAAATATATTTTCATTATTATTTTTTATATAATGATTAACATTATTATATATTTATTATTGTTCAGAGTTTTTTATTTTATATTTAACAAATCTTAGATAGAATGATGTATATACATTAAGTTTCAGCAACTATAAGTAATTATGCATATAATGACTAAACAAATAAATATATTTTTTTTTGCTATTCTTTATATAATAATTGACATTATTATATTTATTATTATTATATAATTATTCAAAATTTTTTTTCTTTTTTTTTTAGATTTATAAATCTATTTAGTTTTATCATTTGAAAGATAATGAAGATTTTAGAATTTTTAAATATAGAAAATAATATGAATAATAACTTATCTATCCTTTATTCTGCTAATTCTGTTAATACAATCAATATTACTAGACACTATACAACTAATACAACCTACTCTTATTTTAATACATCTAATATCACTGCACTTTATTAACTACCTCAACTATCTTATAAAACTTGTAATGAATCTGATTCTGATTTAACTATTCTAAGTATACAAACTATTTTTTCTACTATAAGTAGAGGTAAATAATATTACTAAATGCAACAAATCTAATCAATCTGGTTAAGACAATTCATTTTTAGGCAAGTATTTCTATTACAACAAATCTAACTAATCTAATTAAGACAATTCACCTTCAGGCAACCATCTTTATTTTAATTTATTTCTTGATCTAGATCTGTATTGCACAGCAGACTCAGAAAAGAATATTATTACTTAATTGATAATCTTCTAATTAAAATTAATTACACAATTATAACAATTATAATAGTATATAATTTTTTTTTAACTTTAGATATCAATCTTAAAATTATAGTTTTTTTTTTTTTAAACCTTCAAGAGATTTTTTTTTTTAGTTTTTTGAGCTTATTTACACTGCTGCTATTATAAAAAAGAAAATCAAAAATATTTATTTATCCAAAACTGTTAACTGTATTTTCTAATAAAGAAGCTAAGTAATGATCTTCAAGATTTTAGAAAGGAAATAAAAAATTAAAAAAATGATTTAAGCATTTCAGATTTTGATTTTTTAGCAAAAGTGTAGGATATAAGTGTTATTAAAAAAAAAGTATGAATATATTTTAAATATATATTAAGTGTTTTTTACATTTTTGCAAGACATGTATATTAGTATTGCTAAATGCCTTTTTTCACAAGTAATCTATTTTACTCAAGATGATCTTAAAAAGTTTTTAAAGAACTACTTTAATAAAAAGTTTCCTGATTTTATAGCCATCTTAAGTACTCATAAGTTTACTAACTGTTTTTATAATATGTGATATAGTTAAATAAGTAATATTGTTTGTATTTATTGTTTTTTTATTTTTTTAATATACATCTTTTTTTTTAATAGCTTTATAAACTTTAATGGTATATTATCTTTTTAATAGCTTTTATAAAAAATAACAAATCATTATAGTTCAATGCTGCAGAACATTTGTTCAGCAGTTTGGAGTATATTTAGTTATAAAAAACTTTTTTTTTGAAAAGTGATGCTGCTGCTACAGTTATAGTTACATAAAAGCAAACTAAAAAAGTAAGTGATTACTATCATTTGCTTTTTGAACAAAATGATGAGGTTATTTTTTGGATTACTATTATTACAAGAAGCACATTCTTCATAACTACTGCTTCTATTTTCACCAACTATTACTGTGCATTTATACTGACTATGTATAATATTTTATTAAACCTTTAATCAAAAAATATAATTTGTACCAAAAAGTAGATTAAATGTCACATAGTGCAGTATTTGATAATTAATTAAAGTGAATTGATATAAATTAATTTATACAATTTAAAAAAATAATACTGGCTATTATTTATTATACATAATAATTTTTTCAACAGCAGTTTTAGTTAAGAGTTAGCAAATGAAATCATTAATAAAGAACTTGTAATAATACAAAACTGTAAACAAGATACTAATTCTTATTATAATCATAATCCCTACTACAACTTTAATTCTGGCCTTTTTTTTTAAAGTAGTTTTTTAATGCTTTTATAGAAGAAACAAAATAAAGTGTTTGACATTATTTAATAGTCTTTTTTTTCAATAACATTTTTTTTAAAAACATTTATATATTATATATATTGTTTATTTGTAATAAGCATTATATTAATTTTTTTATATATTACATATATTACATATATTGCATATTGTAAAATAAAATAAATTAGGTGTTTTTTAATTTAATACCCTTTTAATTTGATATTTTCAAAATTAATTGCTGCAATATTAAATATAGCAATTTATATATTTTTAGTTATATATTGATTTATATTGATTTATATCTTTTTTCTTTTTTTGTCTATATACTAATTTTTATTTATTTGGTTACATATTAATTTTTATTTATTTAGTTATGTATCAATTTTTATTGTTTTGGTTATGTATTGATTAGTATCATAATTATTATAAATCAGCAAAGATGATTAATATTACTATATATTCTATGATTAATAATTGATATATAGCTGTTTATTTTTTTTGCTGATGTTTAGAAAGTTAATAACTGTATTAATTCATCTTATTAATTTAAAACTAGTAGTTTAAACTATTATTTTTATATTAAAAAAAAAACAAATTAGTTCAAATTACTATTATTATTATCTTTATAGAATAACTTTAAAAAATTATAAATAATTTTAGTTTTTTCTTAATTTTTGTCAAGTAGTATAATTTGATCAAAATTATTGTCTTATAATACAAGATATTTAAATATATTTTTGTATAGAATCATAAATAATAGTATAAAATATACAGAATTTTATTAGATAAATATATCAAAAGTTAATTATAAGCTAAATACAAATACAAAACAATATCTAATTACAGTATTTTTTATTTTATTTTATATAATATTATAGTAAAAACTTTAAAATACAATAAGAAATTTAATTACAAAAAAAAATTCCTAAAATAAAGATTTCTAAACTATATTTGTGTTGCTAAAAAAAACATTCAATATGACATTACACCTTTTATTTCTTAATAAGTATTATAGATAATTAGTTCAAATTATTTTCTAGCTAGAATAGGTTAAAGAGAACCTTTTATAGTATTTTTTTAAAGTTTTATTGTTAATGTTGTGAACTATAAATTTATTTAATACATTCTTGAATTTTATATATAATATTTTTAATAAGCTTAAAATTAACATTAACTATAAAGTTCAATATATAGACATAGCATTGTTAATACAACAAATTTTATTGGCAATAAGCATATTTTGTTTCTTAAGCTTGTGTTTTATATTTGTTATTGCAGTATAATTACTAATAGCATTATTTATAAAAATTGCTAAAGTTTTTGATACAATGTTTCACTTATTAAATCACTTTAAGAGTATTTTACTAATAGTAATTTCTGTATATAGTATATAACTCAATTTGAACACTAAAACTAACTTTTAAAACCTTTATTCTTTATTAATAAAGTAATATATTATAATTATATCTATTATATAATTAAGATTTTTGAAGCTGTTTGTATTATTATACAATCATTATGTATTATTTTTTATCTATAATTTTATATTATAGCTATAGGTTTTTATAAATATTAAAACTTTTTATGCTTAATTATATGAAATAAATATAAATGCATAATAATTATTTTTATTATATTCTATCAACTTCTGTTTTAAAAAAATTTGTAAAAAATTAGGCCTAATTCTGATAACTGTAATATATAATTTATTAACCTTTATATATTTTTTATATTTTGTATTTTTCATATATCAGATTAAAAAACTGGCTGGTTTCTGTTTCATTATTATGCTTCAAAACATTTTTACAATATATGTATTGAATATAATCTTCTAACAAAATACAAATACTATTAACTAGTAACAAAATTAATAACAATTATTATATTACAAAAAAAGCATTTTTACTCTTTTCAAAATCATGTCTAACAAAGTAACTATTTTTAAAACCCTATAATTTATTTGTTTATTTTTTATTAATAACAGATGCTTTAAAATTTTTATTAATAGTTATTATTTTAGAGCCTTTATTAGCTATAGTTATTTTAAAATCTTTATTAGCTATAATTATTTTAAATTATTTGTTTTTACTAAAACAGAGTAAAAGCTTTGTATTTCTAATTATATTAAATTAATATTAATAAATTTAATAAAAAAATTATAGTTTTTTTTAGCATATTAACATATTATAGTTTATTTTTTATCTAAATTTTAAAAAATTAATTATTAATTATAATAAAATAATCATTACTTTAATGAATTTTAAATGCTTATAAAATAGTATTAAAGAAAAAAATTGATTTTATAAAATCTGAAAAATTAAAAAAAATTAAATTTTGTTATTTAATACTTTTTAAGTTTCTTATTTCTTATTTATTTTTATTTTATATATATATTTTTTTAAAATACATTATATATCAAACTTATTTTAAATCTATATATAAAAAAGAAATTAAATTAATTTTTTATACTCTGTATATATTAAGTAAAATTAGTAATTTATATGATATATAATATATAATTTGTATTACAATATTACTTATCTTAATTCTGTAATAAGATCTTATTAAGCCTATTCAGATATATTCATAAAACCCAAACCCAACTTGATATTTATTAGTCCTGATTCATATTATAAAATATGAATCTAAAATTAGGTCCAAGCTTGGTTTAGCCTACTAATTTACAAATTTAACCTGGTTCACTACAATCTTATTTATAGGTAATCTAATTTTTTCTTTTAATCTAAAAATAAATATTACAAAAATAAATCAAAATTAAAATAATACAAAAATATAAGAAAATTTGTTTGCATTGATCTACATCTAAAGAATACCAACCCAATACATATCAGTATAGTATATTGATATTATATATATATAATTTATTGCATTGATATGTATCTAAGTATATGCAGTCAAACCTTTCTATAATTATACTCTTTAGAATAAATATTTGTGTGCTTATTTATTTTTTTTTTTTTGATGTTAAGGTGAGGTCTTGCTTATATCTTTATTAATAAATTTAACTATATACTTTAATACAAAAGTGTTCAAATAAACCAAGATTGTACACCTTAATACCAAAAAAAAAAAAAATAAACCAAGATTGTATACAACAAAATAAAAATTATATGCAAGAATAAGAACTCAGCCTAGTTTATCTGCGATCTAAACCGATATTTGTATGCTTATAAAAAGATTTTTGTATATGTTGATATATAATTGGCTTTTAAATAGATATTCTTATTAAGAGGTTTTTTATATGATGTGCTTATAACGAGTGACTTATAGAAGGTCTGACTGTAATGTATATTAATTATTTACGGTATTTGTGAAGACAATTTATTAAAATAATTGAATATATATTTAAAAATATGTAATGGTATGATTTTGTAATCGTGTTATTTCAATATTTCTGTAAAAAAGTATTTTAAATTATAACTGATGAAGTTTATTTCGATACTAGAAGTCATGATCAACCAATTCTCAGAATAAAACTGTTTACGGTAATCTTTGTTATCCAAATCACGTCCTCTATAGCACGTGATTGAAATCTTGATATTAAATTTACAAGTAGGGATGTTAGACTTTTAGGGATACTAGCAGAGATACTACGTACCGGTACGTAGCAGGACACGAAAAGTTTTTTCATTATCGTTATACATAAATTTTTACTATAAAGAAACAGAATATCGCAGAATTCGCTGAAACTTTTGAATTCACTTGTTTTTGCAAAAATTAGATTTTACTACGGATAATTACAGAATTGACCTAAAATTTAACCAAGCTCCAGAATGTTTATTGCAGAAATTTGCAAAAAGATTATTTTGCAGATAATTGCCGCAGAAAATCATCGTTCCTGCCCTAGACACTAGTTCAGATCAATTTTGATACATCGAACGGGTTTAATATGAAATGAATCATGAACAATACTTTTTAAATAGCCATTATTAAAATCGGCATTTCCTCATTAATCAGATGATAGAAGTTTTATATCAATTGGTAAATTTCAAAATTCATATTAAACCACTGGGTTGGGCCAGTTTTTGGACTAGTCCCTTAACTAGACTTTTAGGGACCGGACCAGACGAACAACTTAACATCCCTATTTAAAAATTTGAGGCAATTTATGATCTTCAATCTGGTTTAGGAAACTTTGAGAATCTGAAATCGTTCCAAATTGATACGTACTGTATATTCCAGTTGCATAGCATTACAAAATAAATATTTGAATTAGAAAATAACTAGTTGAAAACCAGTTGTATCGACACTTTAGCGAATTTAGTTTGCTAATTTGACGTATCACGCAACTGCCATACATACGTTCCCAGACAGTGGCTTAAAAATTTTCAACTGCTAGACCACCAAGAAGGCTTAGAGATCAAATCAATTTATCCATAAAGATAAAAGATATAATAACAATTTGAATATAAATATAAACTTTTTTTTTTTAATAAACTGACAAGATATAACTTGCCGCTTCTATTGATAACTTTGTTACACAGCTTATTTATGTGGGAAATCTTTGAACAAGCCGACGATCATTGAACTACCAAAACGTAATTATTAAAGATATATTACATTTTACCACGTGTAATTTTGATTTCTAATCACATATAAATAAATGTGACCGATAAAATAAATCATACTTACTTTTCCATTGTTTAGAAAATTAATATTTGGGAAGAATGTTTAGAAAGTAATGTTCTGAAAATTATATTATTTAGTGGCTCAAAAAATGGTTTCTTGAATTTGATTAACAATTTTCCTTCTATTACGAACGTGTCAACAGTGGAAGTTGAACATACAAAAGATACTGAGCTTAATATAGCAAAGAGACCAGGTATTGGCACGCTCGGAACAACTATTCAATATAAGTGCAATTACTATAAGATAACAAGGGTGATTATCTCTATTTTTTGTTCATCACGGTATATTTGATGTAAACGTGTGATGTGAATCATATTCGAGAAAATTATAGTTTCCAAATGCTACCATAAATCATTACGGTTTCGATATTATCCCCAAAGCAAATAAAGATACAATCGCGTATGTTTACGATAAATTAGCTTATCAAAATGGGTTTAACGGCGTTTTTGACGGTAACAACTCAATTTATTCGGCAACTCCTTTAAATCTCGAGAATGAGAAGGGTGGAAACCTTTTTGAGGTAAAAAAAGTTGTTTTCGATTAACATTCCCATTATAAATTTTCGCGCTCAAAGTTCATTACTGTTTCTTTCGTGACTAGTTGCAAGTATCACAAAGTGGTGATTTTAGAGTTCGTAATGGTTCTTATAAAGTCACAATCCGGTTTATTCAAGAACTTTCTTTCGATGAACTTCAAAAATTTGTTTCGGGAAGCATTGCTTCCGTCGGTGAGGTGATTAAGTGTATTATGGCATTAAACGCGTATATCAATTTTACTGTTCGTCATAATTATCCTTCCATTGGGAGAAGTATTTTTCCACATTCACGTCAAGTCGTTTGTCCCGATCTTGACTTAAACCCAATCATCCTTCCTGGTGCATTTGAATTAAGACTAGGATTTTATCAGTCATTACGTCCCGTATGGAGTAAAATATCAAAATTTTTTGAATCTTGTAAATCTGATATCATGAGAAAGGTTTCTAAGTAATTTTTATAATTTTTCGTCACAGATTCCTTGGCAATAAATGTAGATGTTTGCGCAAGTGTATTTTATTTAGGAGGTCCCTTCCTGGAAGTGATAGCAAGGTTACTTAATAAACATAGTATAGACGAATTCCGGCAAGGACTGTCATCACGTGAATGGACGATATTAGCAAAAGTTTGTTATTGTCTATTATATTCATAATATTGACTAAATTTTAAAATGTTAACTTATATCAAATTGATAGTTCGTAAGACGTCTAAAAATACGCACTATTCATCGTGGCCAACGTAGGCCTGTGTACATTGTTCGAAAATTATCAACCGAACCAGCCGATCGATTATATTTTAACATAAACGAAGCCAAAGTTTCTGTCGCTGAATACTTCTATAGGACTTATAATCGTCGATTAAGTTTTGAAAATTTACCATGCGTTATGGTAAGAAATGATGTATATTTACCACTGGAAGTATGCGACATTTTACCCGGTAATAAATATTTGGTTTTCTATTTATATATCGTAAATATCCTTTTAAAAAACATCATACATTTATCTTTTATGGAAACATTAGGTCAACGATTCGATGGCCAATTAGCTGATTCTACCCACGCAGAAATGATTAAGCATACTTGTATTAAACCTAGTGAGAGGTTTAATCGAATCTCAAGAGCAGTTCAAGGAATATTTAAACATAGTAGGGATCCGCATATAAATTCTATTGGTATGGACGTTGATAAAGAAAATATGTTAATTGATGGTAAATGTTAATGTTATCATTTATTTGCGATATACTCGTATACTTTTATGTTTTAAAAAATATTATCTAATTAAGGCCGCGTACTTGATCCTCCAACAATTGAGTACAATTCTAAAAGTGTAAATCAAACACATGTCCCCAAAGACGGTCGATGGAACCTTTTAAATAAGATAGTTGTTCAAGTACGATTGTAAATTAAATCATTTTCCTCTATTAATATTTAATTGACCCTACACATGGTGATGTTTTCAGGGAAAAAACCTTGAAAATTGGTCGGTATTAGTTTTTGGCACAAGAGTGCCAGAGCCGAGCATAGAGCAATTTATGAGACAATTTCGAGAAACTGCTAATCAAAAGGGTTTGGTACGACTATTTCTCAATATAAAATCAATTATTTCATAAAATATGCTATTATACTTACTCGCAAATAATAGAACGTATCAAATAAACCGAAGATATCGTATGCTAGTCCCATAGGAAACATTGAACAAGTAAAATCTTTGAATTTATATATATCTTTTCATATGACCGATGTATATGTGTGTGTATATCTATCTCCCTTTTATTTATTATTATTATTTTTTATAGGCTTTATATCAAGCTTGTTTGGATGCCCGAATCAATAAAGAATTACCTCCGCAATTAGTTTTTTGTATAATGGAACAAACTGGTCCTTTATATGGTGAGATAAAGCGCGTGGGTGATACTATATTAGGTGTACCTACCCAAGTCCTCTTGTCAAAACTTATCACCAAGCGATCAGGACTTGATCAAGTTTGTGCAAACATATCCCTCAAAGTAAATGTAAAGTTAGGAGGGAAAAACAGTTTGCTGTCAAGAGGACAACTCAAATTTGTGTCTCAAGTTCCGGTAAGAATATTCTTTACTTTCATTTCAAATCTTTATTATTATTATTATTATTATTATTATTATTATTATTATTATTATTATTATTATTATTATTATTATTATTATTATTAATGTTATTAATTTTATTAATGTTTATTGATCATTAGACAATGATATTTGGAGCAGATGTGTTCCATCCGGGCAGAGGGGAACGTAAACCCAGCGTTGCCGCTGTTTGTGCATCTATGGATATAGATGCTGTCGTATATGCCGGGCGTTATAGCGTTAATAAATTGCCACGCAATGAAACTATAGAAAATCTTGAAGATATGGTAAACGATTTGCTTCGTGCCTTTTGGGAAAGAAATATGTCACTTCCAAATCGTATACTCTTTTATCGTGATGGAGTGTCAGAAGCACAATTTCAACATATTTTAAATATTGAAGTGAAATCAATAAAAGCAGTAATATCACGTTGCTACAAACCTGGATCTGAACCTACTCTTACGTTTATTATCGTCCAGAAAAGACACCATACACGGTAAATAAAATAAGGAAAAGAGAAACTTTATTAAATCTTATCATTTAATTGACAACGAGCCTATCTCATTCTTTATGATTAGGTTCGTACCAGAGAATGCTCGTGATGGTGACAGACACGGAAATTGTAACCCTGGCACAGTTATTGATACCTCAGTAGTTGTTCCTCACGAATTCGATTTTTGTGAGTAATAATTTTATAATAATTTGTCTTCCCTATTCTTGATTAACTCTGTTATAACGGTTATCTTTTTTTCCTTTTTTTTTTTTAGTTTTACAATCTCATTATTGTTTACAAGGAACAGCTCGCCCTGTTCATTATAATGTTTTATACGACGAACATAGTTTCTCAGCAGATGAAATACAAACACTTACATATAGGCTTTGTTATCTTTCGGCGAGGTTTGTAGGACGATTTTCTTTTATTGCAAACTTTAGTTAATATTAACCATAAATTTCTAGGTGTACGTTATCAATATCACTCGTGCCACCCGTGTACTACGCACATTTGATTGCAAATCGTGCAAGACACTACCTTAAATGGGAGGAAGAAAGTTCTGAAGTGAGCGGTGCTAGTGTTTCTACAATTTCAGACGTGAAGGATGTGATGCAAAATTCTATGTTCTTTATTTGAATATTCGAATACATTTGTGAAACAAAAAAAAACAATTTTGACATTTTTGAGTATTAACACAAAATTATCATAAGTATAAAAATTACGTCAATATTTACGATATAACTTTTCATGTGTTAGATTTATGCATTAGAGTCTTAAGATTACAAAAAAAAATAAAAAAAGAATTAATAAAGATATTTTGCAAAAACACCACTCTAACCTCTTTGAGTCTCAATTGTAGTGAATTCAACATCTTAAATGTTCATAATATTTTGCTATAATTACCTTGTTTAATATGTCGATTTAACGGTTCTGCATTCCCTTGTTATTGTTACTTTGTGCATTTTCGTAATTTATTTATTGTCAAACACATGGGCTGCCGTCAATAGAAATCAAGCAAATCTACATTTTAAAAAAAATCAATGCCTTAACTTTCGCAACTCATATCTTGACAGATTTTAAAACTATCTTAATGATTAAACATTCAAAAGAAAGCTTACGATCTAAGCTTTCATTTGAATATTAAACCATCGAGGTAGCTTTAACATCCATTGAGATATGAGTTGCGAAAGTTAGACATTGATTTTATTTCTATTGACGGCAGCCCACATATTTATTATTCATCAATGAAGAATCATGATATAGATCCTTTTGGCAGTATCATTTTCTTTTAATGTCTAAATTTATTACATTGATTAAATCTTTGTACTGTGCGCTCCCGTATAATCACACCATCGGGCCCATCAAAAAGTGATCTTATATAAAAAAATGTGCTTGTGGTAGTTCAAAAATTAAGATGCTTATATAGGTGGTGTTATACAGATGTTTATATAGGAGTGTGACTGTATCTGATCATGGATAGATTAGTGGAGCAACCCTTATGTTAGTGTTGGAAAATTGGACAAAAAACTGGGTTTGGACATATGTAATCTTCTCAACACTGCCTTATGTCGAGCTGCCGACCAGTCAAATAACTCGTGTTATTTACTTTGGTTTATTGCACAAGATCCTGTGATTGTCTTATATCAAGCAAAAATTGATCTAAATATATTTGGATTTCTATTTTAGATATAAATGCTGAAATGTAAAGTGTTTATTCTCAAATTATAAGTATATTTTAGATTTCATCTTTCAAGCAATAGGTTCAGAGTTCAAATCCCACTGGCAGCAGAATTTTAAAAAATGATCTTATTTTGGTAACTTATCTGTAATCTAAGGTTTGTAATTGTAACTTTGTAATTCTGATTATATCAAAATTTTTTTTTGATTTTTTTTTTGCTTTCACTAAGGTTGTAATTATTGGTGGCTACTGCCTTTATTGTATATTTAATTATAGGTTACATAACTTGTACAAGGTAAGTGTATTACTAGTTACATGTACAACTTTAGGTTATCTATTTAAGTAGTTCATTTGTAGGTTCTATACTAGTTGTTATATCTGCAATCTGTTAAAAGATTACTTATTTAAACACCTAGATTCTTATATAATATTAAAAAAACAGTTTATTATAATATAATTATTAGGGTTCTTCAAATCTAAATCAAATTAAATATTAGATCAATTTGAATTTGGTCAAATCAAATATACACTTGGTTTGATTTGATTTGATCAAATATTTGAATCAAATTTTTAAATTTGATTTAATTTTTAAAAAAATTTAAATTTTGATTGATAAAGAAAACTTAATTTATGAAAATTTTATTATGTTAATTGATTTTGAGTTCTTAAATAAAAGTGTTCTTCTAAACAAAATATTTCTAGTTTTATAAAATGAAAATGTCTAATTGTTTTCATAAAATTTTAAATAAATGATTTATAATTTTGAATATTTAATTATAAATTTTCAAATCAAATTAAATATTTGTCAAATTAAATCAAATTTGGTTTTATTTGAATTTGATTTGATTTGAAAATTTCAGATTTGAATTTTTAAATTCAAATATTTGATCAAATCAAATTAAATCAAATTGTAGAACTCTAATAATTATAAAGAATATATTTTAATAATTTTTTTTTAGTTTAAAGCAACAATTTTGCTTGTATGTCTTTATTTTAATAACATATAATTATATTTTTATATACAATAGTTTATTAATAAAAAAACAACTAGTCATATATATAACTTTAGTTATCATTTAATTAAGAGTTCCATCTATAGGTTACTTACTAGATATTATATCTAAAATCTGTTTTTAAATCTTCTATTTAAACTTTCTAATTTTTAATACTATTTGCATATATATGCAATATTTACATTACTATTAAGTAATATATCAGTTTAGAGTTATTTAATTACTATTTATATTAAAGTATTATCTTATTTTTATAGTTCTTCAAATTTATCTTTAATACAAAATTACTAAGTATAATACTAAGATTATTTTTTAAATTTTATCTAATTTTAGCATATCTTTTATTTTAGTCTTGTGTTTTTCTCCAAATTTGGCATTACTAAATATAAATATTATACAATTTTCTAGAACTTATTCATAAAATTGAATTTGATTAGCTATCAAATTTCATATATATAGTAAATTATTAGACAGTAAAAAAAATACTTTTAGAATATCGTACATGCTTATTAGTATACAGTAACAATTCTATAAGTGCATACTCTTGAGACCAAGTTTTAGCAATATGCACTTAGAGATTAACAAAAGAAAGTGCATTTATAGAGGCATATATATATTTGAGACAGAACTTAAGTATGCATTTTAGAGAAGATGTGCACTTATAGTTATATAGAAAGTACACTTATGAAGATTTTATTGTAAAACTTTTATATGCTAGATCAAAAAGCTGGATTAAGAAATGCTGTATGCATTTTCATTGCATGCATTCAAAAATATTAACTATATAACATCAAATAAATATAATATATATATTTTTTTCTTTTTTGTAACTTTATTTATTTTATATTTGAAAATGCTATTTATTTATAACTACTTAAATAACTATTTTTTTTTAATTTTTAGAATATTTTTTAGCTTCTTTTTTATATTGTTTCTTTAGTCATATTAATATTAGTTGCATTATAAAGATCTTGAACTTGTTACAAAATTAATAATAATTTTTCTTTTCTTTTTAACCTTAATCCTTTAAATTGTAATTATTTGGCTTCATTTAGGAATTTAACTAATGTTTTGATTATAAATACTATTTTATCTTTCTTTAATAATCTTTTAGCTAATTGTAATTATGCTTCATCGTAAATAACAGAAATAGATTAGATAGATTTAGAACTAATTAAGCCAAGCTTTCTTCTAATATATTTTATATATTAAGCTTAGACTTTATCATTAAGGAATTTTATTTGTACACTTAATTTATTATTCTTATCTAAACTATTAAAGCTATTATTTAGATTTAGATTTAAAAAATCTGTTTTTCTTAACTAAATTCAAAACCTTTATAATTTCTCTTCATAGTCTAAATGGCTTCATAGATCTAAACTTTCAGAATCTGCATATTCTATTATAATAAATAATTTTTTTTATAGCTATCAAGATAATATTTATTAGAAAGAAAAATATTAAATATATTATATATTTTATATTATTATATTTATAGAAGTTTGGGTTTCATAGCTTAGTGGTTAAGCTCTCATACTCTTCACAGTCAAGGTCAATAGTTCAAGTCCAGCTAGAGGCAAAATTGAAAGATTTTAGCTTCTGTAATCTAATAAGAAGCCTGTAATTAAATGCAAAGCTTTGTGGTTAAGTCCAAGTACAATACAATGATGAAAATAAAAATTTCCAGAAGAAGATCCAATCATAGAGTTCAGACACTATGCATAACAAGCAGTTGTTACAAAAAGTTACAGTTATAAAAAGATTATGCATATAAGTTCTTTAGGCTAAAGTAGCACCAACATTCTTATACCTCCTAATATAGACAGTATTAACATTTTTGCATCCAACTTGTGGAATACTTGCTTGAAAGAATCATCAATAGATTGTGCAAATAAGTCTTAATTAGGATTTAAGAAAGTAATTTGATTGGAAGAGTATTCTAAAAGTAACCAAGACTGAAATAATAAAAAAAGTAGTAAACATGAGAATAGGTTGTAATAAAGTATTGGTCTAACCAAAAATTAAAAGTACTTTTAGCACAGCCAAATAATCTAATTATAGAAGAAAAAATCTTGAAGGTTGGCATATAACTTTCTTGTGTAATATAAAAGTACCAAATTGGGTTTCTGGTCATACCTATATAGAAGTCTATAATGAACAAGACTGGGATCAATCAACCAATGTGAGATAAGATCAGCAAGATAGTATGACATTACTGGGGTTGGTGTAACTTTCTAGAGCATAACCAGAATTGTCCTGCAGATATTATCAAATAAGCTGAGAACTTGCAATATATAGTAATATAGTATTACTAGGATCAGAGAAACTTCTTAGATATAACTAAAATTGTTCTATTTGTAAGTGCAACAAGTCTCAGTCCCTATTATAGAAGGAAGCACCATGTTGAAGGTTAAATGTAGTATTGAGTTACTATATCCCTTAGATTGTAACACAGGCAAATTTGTCTGCGTAATTTTTTTAAAATTAATTTTTATAATAAAATTTTAACAATTAA